ACCCAAAATAAATATGCAGTCAATGGGAGCTCCACTTCCCAGTCCATCATTCAGCAATATGATCCCACAATAGTAAAGATGTGTCTCAATCACCAAAACGTTTGCAAACAACAGGAGTCCACAAGTGATTCTCCTTTAATCTCTATACCACTTACCAGCATTTTTTTTTTTTTTTTAAATCAGCGAACCTTCTCTATACTGATGAGATGCAGGTCCAAGAAAGTAATTATTGTTTGCAGCTATGAGTTAGCAACCATCAGACTGCATCCCTGAAAAGCATGCTAACCAGGAAGGTAAAACCTTACTAAAAACCTTTCCAAGGACAGTAATACACGAACGACGCAATGCAAGAACACTTTACATCTGCATACACTGGGAAGTGAAACACGTAAACTGGATAAAACACATTCAATTCATGTTGAGGCATAACAGAAGCATCCTGGTTATATCAGGATCTCTGGTCCAGCTCATAGAGTTCTCACCAGAGACCACTACGAAATCTGTCAGTGCCTGTATGGATCATGGCAGAGAACAGAATTTGGGAAAGAGAGAGTATTCCAGAGTACTATGAACTCTTCTCCTGTACCACAAGTCACTTAACCCACCCCTACAAAGACAACATAAGGACAAACCTGCTGGTATCTGACAACATATAGCCCTCTACCCAGAACTGTCCACTAACTAAATCCTTGCCCAAAGTTTTCCCTCTTTAAAGTATTAAGGACATTTTTTCCTGTGTAAAAACATCTGACTTCATAATGAAAATCACTGGGAAAATGAGATCTACTGTGCAGCCAATTTTGCAGAAATATAACCTTCAGACGAGTCAGAGGGTCCTCCTAAGAGTTATACAAATACACTGAGGAAGATTTTAAGTGTGTTATCTGTGTTCTTTAAGTTACTTTACTTCTAAGAAGTCAATGTTATATAATATTTACAGTTGACTATGCCAGTAAATTACAGAGACTAGTAGTATTCCTTCTGGACCTACTTTCTATCTCTAAGGAAAGCCTTTCCATTTTTATAAGTAACATGACAAAATCTACTTTTCAGCCAAACTTCCTCAACCAGCAGTTTAGATACTATTTCAAATACCATTAAATTTAACGGCAGGCCTAAATTCAGACTTCTCATTTCACTTTTGCACCTAACGGAAATTACTTCACTCAAAATAATTATGTCTTCAGATGATTTCCTATTTCCACTTAAAGTAGAAACAAATTAGAACACTTCAAATTCTATTTGCACTTCCCAAATACAGTAATGACTCATTTATCTGGCATCATCAGAAAATGAGGTTCTCCACATGAAGCATTTTCCAGGTAACAGAAGCGCACAAACACAGAGAATTTGTCTGCCTTGTTCCTTGTTGTTACCCCCAGGACCTAGAACAGTGTCCAGTACATGGTAGATGGGCTGTAATAATTACTGAATGTGTAAATAAAAGTACTAAAACTATTTTATTTTTAACCATTCATGAAATTTTTTCCTATACTGAATTACAGCCATCCCTCCTTTTTTAAAAAAACATGACACTTTTCGAAAAGAAATAAAGCTTTTCTTATTAATTTGGGACACCACTATAAATAGCAATCACTTTCCTCCCCTACAATGTATCTTAGTCCCCTTAAGTCTATTAAAATACACTGGGCTTTTTGCCACCATGTAAAAATGGCCTCAGCATGAAACTTTTCCTTTCCTTGTATTAACTGTCATTGCTATGTTTGCTCTTGCTGTCTTATTTTACACACACAAGTCTGGCAAGTTTCTAAACTTAATTCTGCCTCCAAAGCAGAATAAAATACACAGACTTGGTTACCATTCAGAAGTCTTTTCCACTTATTTCTGACCTGTAGCTCCCTTCTAATTCTATTTATTTAACAAACTCCTTGCACACATACATCCTCTACCACATTCTACATAAAATTTGAGATGGTACTATTAGTTTTAAATGAGTATCTTAAGGATTTTCATTTAAGTGCTAAGTTTCAAATATTAATCATGAGCAATGGCTCAAAGACTACCTCCAATATAAACCCCAGGGCATTTTTTTTAAATCCATTCAGGAGACACCAGCCACGACAAAGCTGGATTTCATCTTGCTTGATAGGCAGTGATAGGGCCATAATTTAGATTCATGATTCCAAAGTTCATGGCAGCAAAAATCAAATACACTGGCAGCCATGGCATAGAGTGCTTGCAGAGAAGGGCTTATCTCCTGAACCTAAGAGTGGAAAGGATAATTTAAGTATAGCATTTAGTTTATACAATATAACTGAAGTTCCTTCCCCACAACAAACTTTGAATAATGTTTATATTTTAGCAATCAACTGAAATGAAAGAATTACCACAACTGAAATTAAATATTTATGTATTTCAAACCAGTAGAACTGTGTCTTCAAAAACTAAAACAAGCTAAAAGAAACCTAGTTCTGAATTAGGGATGAATATAAATAAAATGGGGGGTTTGTTTATTCAGGAGTTTAAGTTGCTTTTCTTTTTTTTTTAAGATTTCATGAACTTTCATTTGAAGTAAGCATAGTTTACTAAATTAAAGGACTTGATTAACTATTCTTTAAAGGTAACTAGGTGGGTAAACAATAAAGTAAGTTATCCAAAAGTCAAGAAAAGAAAAATGACTTCAGGCTGCTTTATGAATATTCTCCAAAATCACCAATCCTTCAACAAAAATAGTTCAACGGAAGATTTCAGTTCCTGGTACTGAACTGAACAAAGAGAACCACATGTTTTTAATGGTTGCTCATAAACGACCCAAATAAATCTCCAAAAGAACAGCAGTCGTTCTTTCCATGTTTTTCCCTTTAAAATTCATAAGACCAATTCAACACAGAAATAAAAATTACTGTACTTTATGGCACCACTCACTGTGTGACACATTTATTTGCTGTCACGAAAGTCAGTGCCTCAACAAAGTAAATGAGATTCAGGGAGAAAAAAATTTTCTACCATTTTAAAAAGCACGAAATGTTCTTGCCATTTGCGGCAAAAAGAGTTTACCCACCTCAAACAAGAAGATTTTCATACTAAGTAAGAAATCTAAGTATTTATATATAAATGATACAAAGAAGCTTTCCAAACAGCTTTTCAATCTACGATGCTGACCTCAGTTCACAATTACACTGCTAACTACAATTTATAAGAAATGAAGCCTACACAATAAAAAAATGTAACTTACAATTTAACCACTGATGTTCTATTTTCCCTGGCTTTAATACTGAATCACAACACAGAGCAACAGCACACCCTGCTGGAAGTTGGTAATACAAATAATTAGCAGCACTGAACTGCTAAGATTTTACCCAAGAACCAGTAATTTCTCACTAACTGGGGAAAAAAGAGGTTCACAGAGACTAAACATCAGCTGCGATCTTAAAGGTTAAATTAAGACTCAGAATAACTCAAATCAAAAGATACTGCTTTTTCCTGCTCATTCCCCACGCCCCCCACTCCCCCCAACAACCCCCCCACCCTGCCTCATTTCCCCAGCCCCAAACAGCCCCAACCACCCCAAGTGATTTTACTATTTCTGGCTTTAACCCTAAATAAAAATATTTTCAGATGTGCTTTTTGTAAAAGGAAACTGGTAATGACATAAAAAAGGAAACCAAGGCCATCTTCTGCATATGACTGCCTGAAGTGCCCCTTCTCTCCCATCCCACCTTGGCCTTATAAACACCCCTAAGGATTAACATTAAGAATGCACAAGGCATGGCCAGAAGTGGTGGCTCATGCCTATAATCCCAGCACTTTGGGAGGCCAAGGTGGGCAGATCACAAGGTCAAGAGATTGAGACCATCCTGGCCAAAATGGTGAAATCCCGTCTCTACTAAAAACACAAAAATTGGCCGGGCGCGGTGGCTCAAGCCTGTAATCCCAGCACTTTGGGAGGCCGAGGCGGGTGGATCACGAGGTCAAGAGATCGAGACCATCCTGGTCAACATGGTGAAACCCCGTCTCCACTAAAAATACAAAAAAAATTGGCTGGGCATGGTGGCGCGTGCCTGTAATCCCAACTACCCAGGAGGCTGAGGCAGGAGAATTGCCTGAACCCAGGAGACGGATGTTGCGGTGAGCCGAGATCGCGCCATTGCACTCCAGCCTGGGTAACAAGAGCGAAACTCCGTCTCAAAAAAAAAAAAAAAAAAATACAAAAATTAACTGGACATGGTGGTATGCACTTGTAGTCCCAGCTACTTGGGAGGCTGAGGCAGGCAGGAGAATTGCTTGAACCCGGGAGGCAGAGGTTGCAGTGAGCCGAGATCACACCACTGCACTCCAGCCTGGCAACAGAGCAAAGACACACCAAAAAAAAAAAAAAAGAAGAAGAAGAAGAAGAATGCACAAGGCAGCCTGGGGATCTATGAACCACAATTTACATGCCATTGGCAAAATGTCTATGTAGATTCTGGAATTCAAAATATGCAGACTATATTGAGAAACCACATGTCCTGAAACTGCATCTAGTATGTTTTAACATTTTCACAGACATGGAAAATCATGGAAGCCACTATCTAGAGAACCCAGTTCTGTCCTCTCTCACTCAAACTTACAGTAACCCAAGGATGAAGAGAATTGTATTTAACTTTTGTAAATGTGCTCTCTTTGCTATAAAAAGAAAACTCCTTGGTACTGCTGAGATTCCTCTTCAGAGCAAACAGGCTATGCTAGCAACGACCTACACTCTTCTGAGTGACTAGTGTTGGCTTCTTGGCTCCTTGATCCCACATCTAAAGGTTCTGATTGATATGTGGTCAACTTGCAGGGCATTCTTTAGTCATGAAGGCCAACAATTATTTTAAAACAAAAACCCCAATGAACAAGGCCAAGGAAGATCTAACACTTAAGTGTAGTTTTCTCCAAGAACTAAAAAGGCAATAAGCATCTCAGTGTATTTTTCTGAGATTGTTTTCAGTGGCATTATTTGATTCATTATCTCCATCGAGGTACATTTAAAATTAAAATTTTAAAAGAATACCAACCTCGAGCCTCTTTTCAAGTGATTCAATTCTGTCCTTTTTACTAGCTAGATTGGCCCGTGTGTAGCGGCTCTGCCCCGGAAGATATAAAACTTGACTGTAGCATTCTTCCCACACCTGGTTATAAGCTTCACTTGAGAGTTCTCCATGGCTCATTCCTTGTTTAACAACTTCCATCTCCTGCACCAAAACGTCCTGGGCCTGTTTACAATAATAATTTCAATAAGTTTAAGTACTACAAACACTTGCTATATCCAGAAAGCATTAGGAGACTCATTTTTTCCCTCATTCCTTGAGCCAAAGGCAAGGAATTTCGGTTGGTTGTTTTTTTGAAAGGGGGGTAACAATACCTAGGAAAAATAGCTTTAAAAGCCTTTGAGTCAATGCAGATTGCTTTTTAAAAGTCAAGCATCCATGTTTCCTCAAAAGCATAAACATCCTTTGCTTTCACTCACTATTACAGCAGCTGCCATTTCTCAGGTACCTATTATTTGCAAGAAACTAGGTTTAAAAGTTTTACCTGCATTATCTCCAAAGGTCACAATCACCTTACAAATTAGCCAATATTAACCTCATTTAAAAGCTAATGAAGTCAGGCCCAACACGTGGCTCACTCCTGTAATCCCAGCACTTTGTGAGGCTGAGGTGGGCAGTTAAGGAGGCCAGGAGTTTGAGACCAGCCTGGCCAACATAGCAAAACCTCGTCTCAACTAAAAATACAAAAATTAGCAGGGCATGGTGGCGCATGCCTCTAATGCCAGCTACTCAGGAGGCTGAGGCACAAGAATCACGTGAACCCAGGAGGTGGAAATTGCAGTGAGCTGGGATTGCACCACTGAGCTCTAGCCTGTGTGACAGAACAAAGCTCGGTCCCAAAAAAGGGAGGGAAAAAAAAAAAAAAAAAAGGCTAATGAAACTAAGGCTCCGAGAGATTAATCAACTTGTTAAGACCACATCATTAGCAAGCAGATGAGGCAGAATACAAATGGCATCAATTTGCGTGTACTCCTTCCACTCCCACTCCACCGTTAAGTGCAGGACCTCACGTAATAATCAGCAAAGGGGAACTAGGCATCTTTTTGTCAAGTGCCATTTCTCTCATCCTGAAGGAACTGCCAGATAATGAGACTGGGGCACAAATTAGATGATAGATCATAAACCAGCTTAGTTCACTGCTAAAGAAAACAGTGCAAAATGACAGAATTGAGAGGGATAGCTGGACTGGCCTGGGTTCAAATCACAGCTTTACCATTAAAGCAGCTCTCTGAGCTTACTTAATTTATCTGAGCCCATTTCTCAGTTGAAAATAGCTTTCCAAACAATTATGATGTTGACCTTAGATCAGATATGTTTGTTAATAGGATTAAGTAAACAATACACTATAGAGCCTAGCCCAATGCCAGACTCACGGAATTCCATTAGCATATGAATTTTTTTCCAGCTCTTTACTTCATGGCTTATGAAAAACTGGGAACCACCTTCTGTGCCTTACAGAAGACTTTCAATCTTTCCAGTAATATTAAAAATAAAATGGACCCTTAAACATTAACTCATAAGGGAAATAATGGAAAGAAATCCATTTTAACATACTTTAAAGTACATTAAAGAAAAAGAAAATGTGACACTTTATTAAAAGAGAAATGCTATTTTACTCTGTAACTGTACACAGTAAAAATTTACAAGTTCAGATCTTGTAATTATTAGGAGAGAATATGGCTAAGTTATCTTTAAACTATCCATAAATAATCTAAGTAAATAGCTGCTTCAAATTCTTTTTGGAACAAAGAGAAATATACATAGATAAATACAATATGAGAGAATATTTAAAATACTTTGTTTCACACAATTCCAAACCAATACCTAGAATTACTATTTTTCATAAATTCTGTTAAGGTTTATCCTCTACAGAATCTCCAAAAGCAACAATGTGATCTTTGTTTCAGGTTTCCATACATACAATTTAGGAAAATTTATTTCCTAAATTCCTCTTCCCCTCATATTTTCACTCTAAAAAGAGGAAACCCTGCAAGTATCAATTTCGTAGCCTGATTCTCAATCCCAGTTCAATGATTAAATGTGCTTGACAGAGTAAGCACTCAACAGATGTCAGCTTCCCTACTGCACTTACTAAAAAATGAGTCACTCAAAGTTATTCTGAAATCAGGAACAAGTTGTTGAAGTATAAATCAAAACCCTCCTTCCTTTCTCTATTTTCTAAAAATCCTATAATAAATATGTATTACTTATGTGATAAAGAAAATACAAAGTAAGAAATTGTGAGAGGGGAAGAAAGAGGAAGAATGCAGGAGAGAAGACAGGAGAGTTTATAAGAATCTTGTTTGTTTTATCCTAAGAAACTAGGAGCTCATTCCAAATCCGTGAGTCTCTCACTGCTCCTCAGGGCTGAAGGCTAAAGAAAAAAAGACTTAAGCTAATGACCATTCGGCTTCCAACTATGAGACCCACTCTATCTTTTTATACAATTGTGGAGATTTCTATTTACAATCAGTTGTTTGCTCTGTCAAAGCAGAAGGAATAAAATGCATACAGGGGAAAAGACCAGACACAGACTTCATATAAGAAATCATTTCTTCATGTCTTTATCCAAAAAAGTAGGGGAAAATCATGTAAGGGGAGTATACTCAGCAAACAAATATTTCCTTTCTTTCAACAGGTGAAAGGTTTAATCTATAAACATTTTTATATTAGTCTCTCTCTCATCTTTTCATATTATTCTAAATAAGCAAGGTTTTAGTAGTAAAGGCATCAAATTTTTATTCAGAGATAGCAGAGCTGAATTCAGAAAATGGCAACTGTAACAACTGTCAATCAAGCCATTAATACCCATGAAACAAAAACACTCTGGTGCTGTTTATTTGATAAAAGTCTATCACACTGAACATGGGGGACGGAAGTATTTAAAGCATGTCCTTTTCATAACACTTAATCTAAACATGTAACTCCTAATCATATACTTCAGTTGTTTATAAATACCAATGGGAAAAATAAGTTCATTATTTGTCCATGATACACAGCACCTAACAAATAGCTAAATCTCAAGACAGAAATATTCCAGCTCAATCATACCTTTTTCAGCTCTTCTTTGGAGAACTTTTCATAAGGATTATGTTCCAGATAGGTAATGTGCTCTGAATTATTGGTGCCAAACGCTACAGTTTTGCCTTTTTTACTTCCAGATGGTTCATAAGGATGATGTAGAAGGTCATAATGAAGCATTGTGATCATTTCTTTTTTGATTAGTTCTTCACTTTTCTGTAAATCTGTCAGAGGTGGCTCTACATTTAAGGGTCTTAGAATAGTTTCATTTACCTAAAAATTTAAAACAAATACAATTACCAAACATATCACTGCAACATATTGACATTAGTACCTGTTACAGCATGAATTAAATAGCAGTTTCACATTTTCGAAAGCAATTTCTATTTTTTTACCTCTAAATTCTTATTAGTACTAGTGAAACATTTTAAAGACTGGATTTGAGAACTACTTTGCTATATTCCAGAAAGTAGATGAAATTTTCTTTTATAGTCTTTATGATGTAAAAAGCAGCAATCACATAAAAAGAAACTTAAAACTTTCTAAACCAGAAATTCTAACACTTACTTCTGATGGTCTTGGCAGATCTTTCTGGACAGCTTTATGCATTCGTTTCATTTCCTTTACACGCTCTGCATCTCGTATGGCCTAAAAAATGATTTTTATATACTTTACTGCAGCTATAGAGTATTTGACATCTCTCAATAAAGCTAAAAACACTGGTATGTAAGATCACGTTATGTTCAAGAGCTAAAGTTTAGAAATCAGTTTAAGTTTGTAGAAAGGCAATGCTAAGGCCACAAAAATGAATGTCTATTCATTCTCATTATAATAGAAACTAAGAGCTCCCACTGTCTACGAGAGCATTCTCCAAATTTGCATGGATCCATCCATCACATAACAAACTTTTCTCATCCAAATGAAAAATGTAAATTCCAAAGAGACTCCCACAACACACCTCTTTCTTCCCTTTCATGCCAAATAACTGACTTTTAATTCAAAAAGCCAGCCAAAAAATGTATTGTCTCTTGATTGTTATGAATAATGTGGGGTAACACATCAAAATTTCATGCCATTTCTGAAGAAGTCAATGGAACTCAAAGTAGTTGAGACCTAAACACAAAAAGTATCATCCTCTGTTCCCCAATGAAAAGCATATTCACATGGGTCCCCTCTAAAGTATTATTTCCACTGATGTCATTCTCACTTCAATCCCCTGAGATTAAAGGTTCCTAAAATCCTCCAGCAATGGACTGCAGCAAGACTTACTCAAAGGGGTCATACAATACCAGTTCTAGTTTAGGATTTACCACTTACCCACCATGAGACCTGAGAAAGTTGAGACCATGAGACCTGAATTCATCTGAGCTTATTGAGTATTCCTTATCAGAAATATCTGGCACAAGTATATCTTAGACTTCTGATTTTTTTCAGATTCTGGAACATCTGCATTATACTAACAAGTTCAGCACCTCTAATCCAAAAAGCTTCAATGAGCATTTCTTTTGAGTGTCATGTCAGCCCTCAAAAAAGTTTGAACTTTGGAGAATTTCAGATGTTGGATTTTTGCATTAGCAATGTTCAACCTGTAATATCGATCCTATTTATATCACTGTGTTGTTATGTGCAAATGAGAAAATAATTACATATAAGATATATTACTACAAAGTGTTACTAACATTATTCTGACATACTCTAAACGTCCAACTCCATTTTGGATAGAGGTCTTACTATGTTGCCTGGACTGGATTCAAACTCCTGGGCCCAACGGATACTCCCACCTCAGCCTCCCAAGTACCTGGGACTACAGGCTCCTACCGCTGCACTACCAAGGAACCAAGATGTATTTGTTTTCAAGACTAACCAGTAACATCTTTTCTTTGCTAGACTGAAGCAATGTCTAAAAGACTTCCTATATGTATTTTAGAGAAGCATAATGAATTTGACAGAATGTATTTAAATTTCCATATACATTTTTAAGAATGTCCATCAAAATATTGTGAGTATATTAATTATGTAAATGCGTATTCCTTATTAATGACATGTTACTTACTTTCAAAATTTGTTTCAATATTAAAAAGAAATAGGTAAAGATCTTGAGACATTTCATGGCTATTCTTCATTCTTCGAGCCTACTGACACATTCAGCCAAACTCACACTTCTCTCAGTGCAGTTACCCACCTGCTTTCGAGCATCCACATCCGCAGCATCTTCAATGTAAGTGTCATCTATTTCACGTTCTTCCAGCTCCTTCTCGGCATTTTCTGGTAGAACAATTTCAAAATCATTCTTGGGGGCAGGAAGGCCCAACAACCCTAAACGGAGATGTTCTCGAGATTCTCTTTCCTGTAGAAAAGAAGTACTCCTCCTCAATTTATACACATTAAATATTCAACCAGTATTTTATGAGTCTCTTAGAAACTGATAGCACAACAGGGTGACTCTAGTCAAAATAACTGTACCATTCAAAATAACTAAGAGTATAACTGGATGGCTTCTAATACAAAGGTTAAATGCTTGAGGGATGAATATCCCACTTTCCATGACGTGATTATTACAAATTCATGCCTATATCAACATACCTCATGTACCCCATAAATATATACAGCTACTATGTATCTACAAAACTTAAAAATTATAGGAAGAGAAAAAAAAGTCTCAAAAAAAATCAGCCTAGTATTAATTCTAGAAAAATAATCCTGACTTCAGAACTAAGGTAAGTCTTTTGTTTATTTTCTATTCTTCCTTCTTCCCAACATTCAGACCAATCGAAAACTTTTACTTGTGATTACTGAAGATACTCTGGGATATTCCAATAGAAGCTTTGAGGCCAGGGTAGAAAAAAGGCCACTATGATTTTCATTTGAGGGAATACATTTCTGACACTGAAATGTAACAGCAAATGAAAAGAACAGGTTCAAAAGTTAGTTTGTCCCTGGACTAATAAAACGCACTCTGAAAGATACCTGAATTTGTATGTGTGTTTATTTTTAAAAGAAATGCTAAATCCCATGTAGGCAGAAGAGAGTCAAGTCCTGGTTCCCAAAAAAGCCTCCTGGTACCCAGAGTTTTCCCAGTATATCCTCACCACATCCTCAGCTCACCTTTCCAGCCTCATTTCCCACTACTCCTAACATGTACTAGGTGTGAGGAACAGATAGGTTGTTATGTCCAAAACATCCTCCGTGCTCCACAGGGTTGTTATGTCTAAAACATCCTCCGTGCTCCACAGGGTTGTTATGTCTAAAACGTCCTCCGTGCTCACTCATTTTGTGGTCTCCATCTGGGACAGCCTTCATCTTCCTTCGGAACCTACCTCCTCAATTAAGGCTTTCCTGTTACCCAACAAATGTGATTATTCCTTCCTTTACCCTAAACACATTGGTTTTACTCAAAGGGCTTATTCTGTTCTGATATTACAATTATTTTTGGACTTAGTTTAGTACTGCCAATCTCCCCAGAATATAAATTTCCTTAGGACAAAGAACATCTTTATTCAACTTTAGATCCCTTAAATGTCCAAATGCATGCTCTGCATGCATGAGGTTCTTAATCTGTTTAATTCTTATGTATCCAGTCAGAGGTGGCTTTAGTTGATATCAATTTGGACTTTAAAAAACATATATAAATCAACCACATATATACATGATCTTTACTCAACTTTAGATCCCCTCAAATGTCCAAATGCATGCTCTGCATGCATGCAGTTCTTATGTTTAATTCTTATATATCCAGTCAGAGGTGGCTTTAGTTGATATCAATTTGAACTTTAAAAAACATATATAAATCAACCAAATATACACATAATCTTTACTCAACTTTAGATCCCCTCAAATGTCCAAATGCATGCTCTGCATGCATGAAGTTCTTATGTTTAATTCTTAATGTATCCAGTCAGAGGTGGCTTTAGTTGATATCAATGTGGACTTTTAAAAAGCATATATAAATCAACCAAATATATACATGAGGTTAGAATTAGTTTTAAAATGAAAACAAGCCAGTATCATTAGAAGTTATTTTTTTAATTTCACAATGATTTCTGTGGCATCAGATAATAAGGCCCAATAGCAAAGTAATAAATGCAATTACATGGGCAGAAGCAAATCTTAACTTTTACAATTAGCTTTCTACTTCACCTTGCTGAAGAAAACTTCAGTAAAATCAACAACAAACATCAATATTTACAAACCTAGTAAGAATAAGGAAAGGCAGGTTTTGAGCCCAAAAGATTCCCTCTTTCATCAAGTCTTACAAATCACCCTCTTTTTTTGGCATCCATAGGTATATAGATTCTTAAGGTATATGTGATATGAACTAAGAGGAGAAATTTTAATTTGGCACCCATGAGATATATATAAAAAAAAAATTAAGAGTATTAAAAGGGAATTGACATTTACCATCTGCTTCACGTAAGAAGGATCACTATAGTCTGCCATTCCATCCTCGGGATTAATGTTTAACTTGTCTCGAAGAGGAGTTCTACCCGGGGTAGAGTTAATAACTGGTTTGGGAGTTGTTCCACTCCGGGGAGTCAGCCCTTCAGCTCCATTAGAAGGAGTCCTAGAAAGACAGGAATCCCAATTAACAGCATTGCTACTTATATTTTAGATTGTGCTTTCAAATGTTTTTCACATAAATTATTTCACAGGAAATAAATAAAGATTCCAGAAATTCTGTCTAGCTAGTTTCGTTAGGATCTCTACGTTAAAATCAATGTTTGGTCGAGCTAGCATGGTATTTAAACACAATATTTTTATTTTTTAACTGTCAATAGTCATTACATTCGATATTTTCTTGCCTTTCTAATAAACTAGGTCCACTAAACATTATTCCAACCTTTTCCAGGCACATTAGGGCAGTTAAGAATATGCAGTGGGCAGGGAGATGGGCCACCACACTCAATGACCACAGATGACTCTCTGAGTTTGGTTTTGTCTCCTTCCTATCAAGCTGTTGGCTCTCATATCATTATCACTGTCATTACTACTGATATACACACTAAAATAGTTCCTCATTTTACATTTTGTTTCGAAACCAAATACCACACTTTTAGAATCCCATCTAAACGTGAGTAAGCTCCTGAAGAAGGCCTAAGAGATTCTCCTAGGAATTAGATCCACAGACTTTGCAGCAACCTGTATTTTAATTATTCAAAGCCTTTTTTGTTCCTGGTTGCCTATTTCCTGTATATTGGTGTGTTGCAGAATGGTGACGCTGCCAGACAGCTATTCCTGATAGGTAAGGTGTTATCACATAAGACATGGTCCCTGCCCCCACGGATTTTACAATCTAGGTGAGAAACAAGATGTACAGTTGTCCCTAAGTATCCACCGTGATTGGTTCCAGGACCAAAATCTGCAGATACTCAAGTCCCTGATATAAAATGGCATCATATTTGCATATAACGTTTGCATATCCTCCCATGTACTTTAAATCATCTCTAGATTATTTATAATACCTAATACAATTTAAATACTATATAAATAGTTGTTATATTGTATTTTTATTTGTATTATTTTTTACTGTTGTACTGTTTGGGTTTTTTTGGGAATATTTTTTATCCACAGTTAGTTTAATCCATGAATGTGGAACCCTCAGAGGGCCAACTAAACAGAGGAAAAGAGGGGTTACACTCTCTTATAAGCCTCTCAAGAAGTTCAAGAAGTGTTAAATGTTTAAGACTGGCTGCCAATGCTTCTTGGTTCTGCTCTCATGACATGTGTAGTAATAGTCTGAAATGCTTTCCCTACTAAATAATCAGTAGAAGGACATATCCTAACACTTAAAAGTAAGCCACAAATATTTCCAACCATTATAAGTTCCAATTCCATTTTACTACTACATGCTTCCATAACATTGGTATTTTAAAGATTCTTCTTAAAAAATGGCAGCTTAAAACTCAGCAAAAGAGTTATAAAGAAATACTAACTCTAGTTAATGCATGTGGAAGTGCTTAGGGATCAAACAAACTGATATCTGCAAGCTACTTTGAAACGCATTTAAAAATATGATGAATTGATGGATGGATAGGTGATAAAGCAAATACACTAAAATACTAGCAATCTTAGAATCCAAGTGGTGGCATGATGATACGGATGTTCACTTTACCATTTGTCAACTTAAACAGGTGAGAGACTGGGTCTCCAGAACACGCAGTTTATTCAGGAACAACAAGGGATGACAGTGTGGGATATGTGTGCTATGACAGACCATAGGTATACCTGAGAGTGCTGGGGCAAGGAGAAGGTTTTAATGATAAAAGGGAGACGTCCATGTAAACTGCTTTGAAATAAAGACCACTGGTTACAGGGACATAGCACAGGAGGTGGCATTTATTTTCATAGGTAAGAGTACCCCTTATCTGAAATATGGGACCAGAAGAGTTTCAGATATGGAATTTTTTCAGATTTGGGGATATTTGCATTATACTGGTTGAGCACACCAAATCTGAAAATTCGAAATCTGAAATGTTTCGATGAGCATTTCCTTTGAGTGTCATGTTGTTGGTGCTCAAAAAGTCTAGATTTTGGAGCATTTTGGATTTGCAGATTTAGGATGTTCAACCTGGTAGGGCAATGTCTTCACAGAAGCAACTTATCTGGAATATGTGTGGTTTTCAGAAGATCTCTGCAATAATTTCTGTCATGGGCATAAGCACACGAGGGTTCCTTTTTCATGAAAGTATAAGTGATTTCATTTCAATACTGATAACTTCCACACAATCTTTCAACCTCTCTAAATGCTTGACATTTTCACAATAAAATACTGGGGGAAAAGCAACAGTAATACATACATAAAAGGATTACAATCTTCATAAAATTCATAAAGTAATCATTAAAAATGAATCAATCTACTCTAAAATCAAATATAAAGTATTCAAAAATAACGTGATAGGATCCGAAACTTTGCAAAAGGACACTCCAATTAGACAGGCGTGGTGGTGGGCGCCTGTAATCCCAGCTACTCGGGAGGCTGAGACACGAGAATCACTTGAACCCAGGAGACAGAGGGTTCTGTGAACTGAGATTGTACCACTGTACTCCAGCCTGGGTTGACAGAGCAAGGCTCCATCTTTAAAAAAAAAAAAAGGGGGGGGGGTACTCCATACTATTTAACCATTTCCTGGATACTATTATTACTATGAAGAAGAAATCAGAGGAAAACTGAACACAGGGAGTATTCATTCTCTGTAAACACTACTAAAGCAAACATGCTGCCTAAGTCCTTGAATTCAAGCTTCACTAAAATAAAAAACATATTCATTTACAATACCTGAATGGAGTAGAGAGAACTGTGTTTGGAGTCTGTACAACCTGCCGCTGTGGAGTTACACCTGAAAAGTCACTCTCATGCAACGGGGTATTAAGTCCACCTTTTAATGGGGTATCCACATTGGTCAGCGCCATGAGGTTCTGGGCTTCCTGATTAACGAGAAGGCAAAGAAGCATGTTTAACAGTTTAGACAGGCCTGCAGAATCTCTTCTGGTCCTACTATACAAATCTTGAAGCAGGCAGAATTCTTACACATTTTCTCAATGAAAACCTATAGAGAAAATGAATACCAGTCATGACAGATTTCAATACTTCCATTCCTTCTATCAATCTAACACATCTCACATCAGTTTTATACATCAAATAAAGTTTTATATGTAGAGGTATGCTTTTGTGGCCTCACATATGAAATTACCATTACCCAAAAATTTCTCCTATTACTTGTGCCAAACCTCTCCATAATCATGAAATACAAGAATTCAAATTTCCCAGTGTGAGCTTAGGCCAAATGTCTAAATGCCTAGGTTTTAGTCTGGCTTCACCACTAACTCTCTATCCAGTCTTCATTAGTGTCTCTGAGTCTGTTTTTTCTACTGGGAAGTTAAGATACTACCAAGCAACCTTTCCACTGCACAAGAAAGCAACTTGTGGGGTCAGGTCCCTTTCAGAACTCTTGCCTGATCTCTTTAGGCAGAACTGACCATGTTCTCTTCAGCACCTCTACTATAACCCTGTCCTCAATGCTATCTTTGCACCCTTAAGTCTCTTAACGTCCAACTTAGGGCCTGTGGCAGTTTATTTTCCAAAGATGGTCACTTCCTTCTCTCTCATGTTTCATGTTCTTATGTTTAAAATCCAACTGTGATACTCCTTCCATCAAGAGGTAGGATCTATGCTCCCTCCCCTTAAATCTTGGTGGGCTTGTGATTCACCTGCAACCAACAGAATACAACAAAAGTGACAATGCTTGACCTCCCAGGTTAGTTTAGAAAAACTAACGCAGCTTCCCACCACACTCACACTGGAGCTCTGAGATACCAGAGAAGTTCAACTGTTCTGAGACCACCATGCTGTGAGAAAGCCCAAACCACAGGAAAGGCCACATGCAAATTCACTCCACATTCCCAGCTGAGGACTCACCCAATCAACAGCCAGCATCAACAACCAGACATGGAAGGATGACACCTCCAAATGACTCTATCCCCTATCTGTCAAATCACCCAGAACCGCTGAGTGCTCCTTTCTAAGGCCCTAGGCATCAAGAAGTACAGACGAACTACTCCTTATGTGCCCTGTCTGAATTCCTGACTCACAGAAGTCATAAACATAGTAAAATGCACTAAACCACTAAGTTTTGAGGCAAAATGAAAATAACCAGAGCAAGATTTATTCCATTATTCTGCATATCTTTATTCATGGGAAAAAAATCTGAAATTTCACATTATCAAAGATCCTGTGTGTGTCCTTTTTGCTATTCCAAATATAAAGCATTTACAGGAAAAAAAAATGTATGTAGGCTTAGAACTTCTGCATAGGAAAGAGGAGAAATAAGACTCAAATGGCAAAGTATATATTCCTGGAAGAGTGGATAACATGTAACATATCATAAGTGCTAAGATTACAAATAGGCAACACTCCCAAAAATGATGTGGCTAAGGAGTGGGGGAGTTTGGCCCAGGTAATAGGGCCAAAGTAATATGCTGGGGCATCTGAGCTGTCTCCTATGTGATGAATCATCCTCTTGTCAACCTGGTTACACTGGAATGTTTCCCAGAATTCTCTTCCCTCTTGATACTGCGTTATTTTACACCAAAAGTAAAATAGAAGTAGAAGCTGAAGGAGAAGCCGAGGTGACAGAGGTGACATAGCAACCACTAAGCTCCGAAGGCCCTCACTGGTTAGAGGTAGTGACAGACTCGCAGAGGAGCTGGCAAGTTCCAGTGTGTCCCTGCTCCTCCTGCTCCATATATCCAATCCTCCTCCTTTATAGGCAGCCCTGGAGACCAACAGCAACCAGACTTCTAGCTTCAAACTCACAGAAACAGGAGTAACAAAGAGCCAACAACCCTCCAGACTTCCATACCAACCCGCTTCCTGCCTAGCCTCCAGATTTCCTATAAGCTACGACTTACCCACCAGGGCCGGTGACCTTTCTCCGATCTTTAACACTCCTCTTCAGACCTTTAATGCCCTGCTTTTCCCATGACTGTGTATGGGACTAATTCCTCTAACAAATTCCTTCATCTATGATTTTCATAGTGGTTCTGTTCCCTTAACTAAACCTTGACTGATGTACCCTAGGCTAGATAAGAGGCAGCCAAGAGACAGGGGCAAAACTCCTCATCTCCCTAGCTACACACAACAGCAGCCAGAGGTGCCACCTTTATCACACATAGAACAGAGACACTGAACCGATAAAAGCTGAAAGATGAAAACCAATAAAAGATGAAATTTATCAAAATTTTACATAAAAATATGTCACAGACTTGACTAAATCTCAACTTCTCTCAGTTCATCTTAGAGGTTCCAAAGGGCTTCAACCAATCATAATCATTTCCATTAATAGGTATTTATCTTAGCAGTGACTTCTACTTGTCACCAAACACCCATTCTCTTCCTCCATAGTAACAGAAACCTCAATTCTTAACCGGCACCTGGCTACCTAGAACAAATATCATATGTCCCCGTAGCTGGGACATGTGTGCCTAAGTTCTGGCCAGCAGGACAGAACAGAATGATGTGTGCAAGACGTCTTTCTTAAGACGTGTTCTTAAGAAAGGAAAGGGTGTGCCCCTTTTCCTCCTTCTTGCCAGCTATACGCAGACATGATGGCTGGCCCTCCAGCCACTGTACCTGCCACAAGGAGAAAAGAAGAAGAGAAATCTGACATGGTGGAGGACAAAACAGCAGGTGCCCAGGTCCCTGACACCAGCCCCAGTTTGATTTCTCTCTTAACATTTAGGACATGAAACAGAAATAAACCTCTATTCTATTTGAGCCACTGTGAGAGGTTTTCTGTTACAGCTAAACCTAATTCCAACAAATATATAACTTCCCCTACATCTTTTAGAAGAGGAATCCAAAGTTACAAGCCCCAAGCTTACTGCATATGGCTCAGGCTCTAAATCTGTTTTGTACCTTTTCAAAATAACTACTACTCTCTCAGTTAACATTCACTCATTACCTCAATATTCTTTAACAATCAGTTAAAAGCCTGTATTAAAAACACAAAAGGATACTACAGGCTATAGGAATTAAGACAGTGTGGTACTGGCACAAGATAGATAACAGATCAATAGGACAGAATTGAGAGTCCAGAAATAAACCCTTACATTAATGGTCAATTGATTTTTTAAAGGCTGCTAAGACCATATAATGGGAAAAGAACAGTCTTTACAACAAATTGTCTTAGGAAAGCTGGATATCCGCATGCTCAAGAATAAAGGTAGATCCATACCTAACAGTACATACAAAAAATTAACTTAAAATGGACCACAGACCTAAACGTCAGCACCAAAACTATAAAACTCTGAGGAAAAAACATGGAAGTAACTCTCCAGGACCCAGGGTTGGAAAGAATTTCTTGGATAAGATTAAATGCATAAGCAAAAAAGGAAAAGATAGCTAAACTACACTTCATGAAAATCGAAACCTTCTGTACTGCAAATGAGAACATCAAGAAAGTGAAAACACGACCTACAAAATGAGAGGAAACATCTGCAAATTATATATCAGATAAGGAACTTATAACCAGAATATACAAAGAACTCTTACAATGATAAAAAAAAACTCAGTCAGATGCAATGGTACACATATATAATTCTAGCACTCTGGGAGGCTCAGGTAGGAGAATCTTGAGGCCAGGAGTTCAAAACCAGCTTAGTCAACACAGCAAGACCCTGTCTCTACAAAAAAATTTTTTAATTAAAAAAAAAAAACCCAATTTAAAAATGGGTGAAGAATATGAATAGCTATTTCTGAAAATATACATATATATATATATGGATACACACACACATATAAAATACACACACACACTCACACGCGCGCCAGGCCAGGCACAGTGGCTCAAACCTGTAATCCCAACATTTTGGAGGTCAAGGTGGGAAGATCACTTTAACCCAAGACTTTGGGACTAGCCTGGACAACATAATGAGACCCCATCTCTACAAAAAATAAAAAATGAGCCAGGCATAGCGGTGCACACCTGTAGTGCACACTTGAGAGGTGCACACTTGAGAGGCTAAGGTGGGAGGGCTGCTTGAACCTGAGAAGTTGGGTCTGCAGTAAGCCATGATGGCGCCACAGCACTCCAGCCTGCGTGACAGAGCAAGACTCTGTCTCAATAATAACGACAACAACAAAGATATAAAAATGGCCAATAAGCACATGAAATGTCAATGTCATTAGCTATTAGGGAAATACAAATCAAAAACACAAGATACCACTTCACAACTAGGATCTGTTTGATTACAAGATAGCTATTATCAAAAAGACAGAAAACAAGTGTTGGTGAGGATATAAAGAAATTAGAACCCTTACACATTCCTATAAAAATGTACAATAGGCTAGGCACAGTAGCTCATGCCTGTAAACCCAGCGTTTTGGGAGGCTGAGACAGAAGGATCATTTGAGGTCAGGAGTTCGAGACCAGCCTGGGCAACATAGTGAGACCCTCCCATCGCTACAAAAAGTTAGAAAATTAGTTGGACCTGGCGGTGCATGCCTGTAGTACCAGCTACTCAGGAGGCCCAAGGTGGGAGGATCACTTGAGCCCACGAGGTTAAGGCTGCAGTGAGCCATGACTGTGCTACTGCACTCTAGCCTGGGCAACAGAGCAACACTGTGTCTCAAAAACAAATAAAATAGTGCAGCCACTTCATAAAACAGTCTGGCAGTTCCTCATAAAGTTAAAACATAGTTACCACAGGACCTAGCAATTCCACTCCCAGGTATACACACAAGAGAAAGGAAAAACGTGTCCACACAAACATCTGTTCAAAGCAGCATTATTCCTAATAGTCAAAAGGTAAAAACAACCCACATGTTCATAAGCAGTTAAGTGGATAAACAAACATGGTATATTCATATAATGAAATATTAAGCAGCAACAAAAAGAAATGAAGTACTGATACAAGCTACAACATGGATAAACCTTGACAATATTATGCAAAGTGAAAAAAGCTAGTCACAAAAGACCATATATATGATTTCATTTACATATATGTGCAGAATAGGGAACTCTATAGAGACACAAAGCAGATTGTTGCCTAAAAACTCAGCAGGTTTGAGGGGAATAGGGAACGACTGCTAATGGGTATGGGTTTTCTTTCTGGATGATGAAATTATTCTAAAATTGACTGTGGTGATCGGTAAACAACTCAGTGAATATAGTAAAAATGGGTGAATTCTGTAAGAATGTTATTTCAATAATACTGTTTAAAAAACATAAAAAGAGTTCCATTAAATGTTCCTTGTATTACCCTATAATGTAATATTTTCCCAAAATTAAAAATATATATATTTTTTAAATTTCAAATGTGAATAATCACACTTGCAAACTTCTTCAAACAGCACCACTGAAAAAAATGGAGGGGTCAGGTACAGTGGCTCATGCCTATAATCCCAGCACTCTGAGAGGCCAAGGTGGGCAGATCACTTGAGCCCAGCAATTCGAGACCAATCTGGGCAATATGGCAAAACCCTGTCTCCACTAAAAGTAAAAAAACTAGCTGAGTATGGTGGTTATGGTCGTGCCACTGCACTCCAGCCTGGGTGATGGGAGTGAGACCCCATTTCAAAAATAAAAAAAGTAGGGGAAAGGTTATTCCTATCTGTCAGAGAAGTGGGGACATCTGAAAGGCTGAGGCGTGGTTCAAGTTACAGAATGAGGAAAGCATGCTCTGTATTTTAATGAAAGGGCTGGATAAGTGCTACACATGCACAAGCAATACTAAGCCACATAACACCGACAGAGCCACTATCAGAAGCATCTACATCACTTCAGGGCTGCCAGGAAAAGATGGCTGGTGGAATTCTTACAATATCTACAGCCATTACTGCCCCATGTTATTAGCAGGTCTATATAGTTTAAGTGGATTCCTGTCTATTCTGGACTGTTGAGGCCCCTCCATGTTTCTTCTGTGGGTGGTTAGGTTTTCTCTTTCCCAGCCTGCCTGAACAGGCTTATTTGACACTTTACCTGGCCTTGAACACCCTGAAACACATTCCTTACTTGTGTTCAGAGTCCAAGGAAATGCAAGATCACATTATTATTTTTAAAGCTTCTGATATGCTAGACATTTTATTTACTTGAGAAACCCTATGTCGAGGCCTCCTCAAAGCCTTGAGTTGGCTGCTAACTAGTGTGCAATAATTTAGTAAACTTTCATAAAACAATATAAAAGAAGAAGAAAAGGGAGAAGGATAATAAAAAAAACAAAGTCTATAGGATTTTTAGAACACACACACACCCACACACACAGGATTTACAAAAGACATAGAGGCTTTACTCTCTGAAGAGAGTACAACCAAAGACTTCTAAGCCAGAGAATACCAGGAAGAGTTAAGAAAAAAATTATCACTATGAAAATAGAGATGTGAAGCGGAAGTTTTTATTTTAGATTGGAGGCATCCAGCCTTTTTCCCCAAGAAGGTTCCCAGGGGCTGGCCAACTTTATACCCCGTAGACAGGAGACTGGAAATTGCTTATCTGAGGAATCTGACTGACTAAGCAAAAAGAACTAGAAATATTGACATCAAGAATTCCCCAATGAAACATCCCAGCCAGATTAGCCTCCAGGGAAGCTGGGAGGCTACCCACACCTAAGGAGCTTCCAATCAGCTTGTGATTGTCCCCCACGTACCACTAGACACAGTCAAAGAGCATCAGACATTTGAGGAAATATCCATTAGCAAAGACAGAAATGAAACAAAACAAAAACTTAGAAACTACGCAAGGAAAAGAAAACTTGTAAAAACAAAACCAAACCACCATTAACAGCCTCAGAGAAATAAGATACTCATGAAATGAGACATGAGTAACATGAGACATGTTAAAAAACATACTGAACAAAATTTTAAAAAGCACTTAAACATTACATATATGATAGCAAATTAAAAACGGAATAAAGATAAAATTGAGAAAATCTCCTACAAATAAATCAAAATCAATGAGATAGAAAACTGTAGAGGAATGAATAGATAAATTGGAGGTCTATAAAGAGATCAATGAAAGGGAGAAAAAAAAATTTAACTCAAAATAATTTTACAAAACTGAAGGCCATAAGCCTCCAGAATCAAAAGATCCACAGTGGTTGAAAAAGATCTACACCAAGAAACATGCGTAAGATAATATAAACATGTAAGATAATATAAGCTTCCAGACAAAGAAAAAACTAGGCTTCCTTTTAACAAACTGAATAGAAGGTCTCAAAAGGAACAGTACAAGCCAGAAGACCTTGCAGCACCACCTTCAACACTGTGAACAAAAACCACTGCAATCTGGGATTCTATACCCAGTTATACTGTCAATCAAGACGGTAGATTAGTAATTTACAGATATGCAAGGTCTTGAAAAATTCTACCTCTGGACATAACCTAACTGTCCATCAATGGAGAAATGAATTAAAAAATATGTGATACACAGGCTGGGCTTGATGGCTCACATCTGTAGTCCCAGCACTTTGGGAGGCCGAGGCAGGTGGATCACCTGAGGTCGGAAGTTGGAGACCAGCTTGACCAACACGGAGAAATCCCGTCTCTACTAAAAATACAAAATTAGCCAGGCATAGTGGCACATGCCTGGTCAGGTACTTGGGGGGCTGAGGCAGGAGAAATACTTGAACTCAGGAGGCGGAGGTTGCAAAGAGCCGAGATCATGCCATTGCCCTCCAGCCTGGGCAACAAGAGCGAAACTGTCTCAAAAAAAAATACACACACACACGTGCGATAAAATACTATTCGGCCTTAAAAAAGAAATCCTGTCATTTGTGACAACATGGATGAACCTGAAGGACATTACATTAATAAGCCAGATACAGAAAGACAAATACCCCACGATTTTACTTATTTGTGGGATCTAAAAGTCAAACTCACAGAAAAAGAGTAACACGCTGGTTACCAGAGGCTGAGAGGTAGAGAAACCAGGGAGATGTCTGTCAAAGGACACAAAATTTCAGTTAAGACAGGAGAAATAAGTTCAAGAGATCACACATCATGGTGATTACAGTAACAATATACTGTACATTTGAACATTGCCAAGAGTAGATTTTAAGTGTTCTTATCACAAAAAATGATAAATATGTGAAGTAATGCACGTTAAACAGCTTGATTTAGCCATTCCACAAGGTATACATATACCAAAACATCATACTGTATGCCATAGACACAATTTTTCCTTGTCAATGAAGAAAACTAATTTAAAGAAATTCTGGCCAGGCGCGGTGGCTCACGACTATAATCCCAGCACTTTGGGAGGCCAAGGCAGATGGATCATGAGGTCAAGAGAGCAAGACCATCCTGGCCAACACGGTGAAACCCATCTCTACTAAAAAATGCAAAACTCATCTGGCATGGTGGCGCATGCCTGTAGTCCCAGCTACTCAGGAGGCTGACGCAGGAGAATTGCTTGAAACCAGGAAGCAGAGGTTACAGTGAGCCGAGATCGCACCACTGCACTCCAGCCTGGCACCTGGCAACAGAGTGAGACTCTGTCTCAAAANAAAAAAAAAAAAAAAAAAAATTCTACCTCCAATGAACCCCTTCTCTGAAAGCTACTGAATGGTACTCTTCACAGAACAAGAAAATAAACCAAGAAAGCCAAAGACGTGGGAGCCTGAAAGAGGGGATTCAAGGAACTCCCTAGGGAGGCAGTGAAGAGAAATCAAAAGAACAAGCTATAAACAAGCCCTGAAGAATAATCAGTCCAGGCAAGAACATTGAGAAGTTCTTAGAAAGACTTTTCAAAAAGATGAGAATAAAAAAGTCTGGACAGGCTAGAGAAAACTGACACAGCCAGCATAGTCTAGAATGGAATTCGTGCTTAGTCAAAAAACTTAGCAACTGAATAAAACAAGTATTAACTCCAAGAAAAAATACTCTACTGCAAAGTACAATAATATGCTATAGATTACATACTACATGTACAAATATTACATATTTGTACAATTACACAAATTATAAGGTAATTCATGGTTTAGCAATGAATAGGATTTACAGTCATAAGATAAACCAAGAATATAAAGTTAACCAAATTATAACAGAGAATCAAGGAATAGAAAATGTATGCATGACAGACACAGAAGGTGTGACAGAGTCAAGTGTCAAATTCTGTGGGGAAAAACAACAAATAATGCCTAAAACCGAAAACGGTCAACAAGTTACAAAGTTCTCAGCAGTAAAAGTAACACAAACGGTTGTAACTGGCACTTCCATGGATGAAGGGCACAACTGTTCTTCTTGCTAAGCCTTACACAACTATTTGCCTCGAACCAAAGCCTTAAAATTATACTCCTGACTATTAGAGAAGAGGAAATGAGATGTAAGGGTACTAAAAGACCCAACTCTATTTTGTAGGTTTGGATATTATCTGGTATACAGACACCCAGGGAACACACTAAGCTGTGTCTACACTATGCGTTAGAGAGAAGGAAGAAAGTAGAACTGTGGGCACTATGCAAAGCTAAGTACAGAAATGCAAGCAAGTATTTCTTTCTTTCCAGGATTGGTAGGCAATGTCAAATTTTACAAAACTATGTTTTATACTGACAGGTACAAAAGACTAATAAAGGGAGAAGAGCTGGCTTCTAGAAGTTACAATCAATGTGAAATTAAAACTACCTTATTGCTGAATCTATTTAGCTTCTCTACTACAGAATGTTGCAAGATCTATGCATTCGGGACTCAGTTTCAAACCATTTACACAAGAAGAAACACAACCAAACCACTTAGTTCTAATGCATGATACTTCTAAGGACAATAAACAAAGTAAAAGGCTCATTCTACTATGTGATACTTTACCTGCAGAATTCTGTCCTGGGAAGCTGGCGTTCGTGGTGTTCTAAGAGCAATGCTGTTGTTGGTGACATTGTACTCAGACAAAAGAGTACTGGAAGCAGAGTTTGTTATGCCAGATTCCTCGGCAGTTTGACGTGCAATTTCACTTGCTTGGCCTACTTTTACAACTTCCTGGAGTTCTGCATCTGAAATCTAAAAGGACACAATTATCATAGTAAGCAACATTTTAACTGAGGCCAGGCATAGTGGCTCACACTAATAATCCCAACACTTTGGGAGGCCAAGAAGGGCAAACTGTTTGAGCCTAGGAGTTCGAGACCAGATTGGCCAACATAGCGAAACTCAGTCTCTATTTAAAAAAAAAAAAAACACCAACATTTTAACTGAGAACTGACACAGCTTTAAATTTCCATATTCCAGAAAAATGAATTGCTGAAGCTGTGCGATTAGTATCAGGGGTTCACTGTAGTACTCATCTTTTTTGTGGCTTTGAAAGTTTCCGTAATATAGCTTCAGAAAGCCTTTCCTAACAAATGTGGGGGGAAAATTCATATATGATATAGAATCAAGCTACATAGGCTGTATCACTATGCTGAAATTCTTTCAAATCAACCTATCAATGTACCAAGAATGTAAAATAGCAGTATTTATACAAAATTATTCATCAATATGTGGGAGGAGAAAGACTGAAAACCAATTAAAATATCACACAGAAAGAGTCCAGTGAACCACAAGATCCGTAAGAAAATCTAAAGGTGTCATGTTAGTAATTTCACCAAAATAAATATCCTAAGGTGTACTAAGAAAAAAATTGAAGACAAAATTTCAATTTAATAATTATCCCCATTAGGAATGGCAGAATATGACAAAATTAGTTTATGCCCAAGAATCCTGTGTTGATGCAGCCAATGTGCTCATTTGGGAAAACAGTTCTTCTGGTCTCCCATGTCCTTTCCTCCACACCATTAAATCTGTCCAATTCTACCAAGCTGTACTACTCAAAAAAAAAAAAAGGTTACTCTAAGGTCCCATGTCTCTGACCAACTACAGTAAGTCAAAAGAATACAGCCTGTAATAAGCTGAATGAAGGAATGTTTGTATCTCTTTTCTCCACAACTTCCAGATTCACAATTGTTGTCTCAAAAAAGAGAAGCGTAACACAACGAAACATTCCCTGGGAAAAGGCAGCTTAAAGTCCACAAAGCCAAATCATACCTTTACCCTGGTCAGCTACAAAAAAGAAGCCCTAACCTGTTGACAAAATGTTAAAAGCTAACAATTACTTACCAAACCATCATATGAACAGTTTAGGACCTAATACAATAATTTATACCGAGAAGTTGAAACTATCTTATCATATTATATCACAATTACTTGTGAGTTTTTTTGTTTGTTTGTTTTTGAAATGGAGTCTCACTTTGTTGCCCAGGCTGGAGTGCAGCGGGAACGATCTCGACTCACTGCAACCTCCACCTCCAGGGCTCCAGCAATTCTCCTGCCTCAGCCTTCTGAGTAGCTGGGATTACAGATGTATGCCACTACACCTGGCTAATCTTTGTATTTCCAGTAGAAACAGGGTTTCACCATGTTGGCCAGGCTGGTCTTGAACTCCTGACCTCAGGTGATCCGCCCATCTCAGCCTCCCAAAGTGCTGCGAAAACAGGCATGAGCCACCACAGCAGGTGTGAGGACAGTGGTCAGCCCACAACCACTTGTTTTTGCGTATGTCTCACCCACTAAACTGAATTTCTTAAGAGCATCCAGCACAAATGTGGTACACAGGCCTTCAAATGTTTGCTGAATAAATGATATAGCATATAAATTCACACAGTGAAAAATTTGCTTTTATCAGATTACCTGAGGGGCAGGAAGAACTAGTTTGCTTCTCTTTTTAGTAAATTCAGAAACACCACTAGTTTGAAGAATAGCTGACGGTAAATCAGATTCTTTTTTCCTTTTCAAATGCTGTTTGTCTTTTTTTCTATCTCTTCCTTCTTTTTCACTGTCATGGATCAAGGCAGAGAAGAGATTTTTAAGTTACATATAGGCAAAAACATTAAAATCCATACAAATACTCATACCCTTTGAACAATCTCTTTTCTAAGACAATAACTAAAAAGGCCATGCACGGTGGCTCACGCCTGTTAACCCAGCACTTTGGGAGGCTGAGGTAGGTGGATCACCTGAGGTCAGGGGTTCAGCCTGGCCAACATGGTGAAACCCTGTCTCCACTAAAAATACAAAAATTAGCCAGGCATGGTGGCATGCACCCATAATCCCAGCTACTCAGGAGACTGAGGCAGGAGAATCATTAGAATCCAGGAGGTGGAGGTTGCAATGAGCCAAGATCATGCCACTGCACTCCAGCCTGGGCAATAGAGAAAGACTCCATCTCAAGTAAAAGAAAAAAAAAAGAGACAAAAACTAAAAGAAGACCAAAAAACAATATATATTAAGTAGTTCCCTACACCATTACTTACTATATTCAGGATGAAGGCAAACTCAAGAATAGCAATAAAATTATTATTGAAGTACTAAATATTAAAATATACAAGTATAAAGATAAAGATAAGCAAAACATTCCACATGTCAAAAGAAAAACATTCCTGCATTATGAATACATTCAATAAGAACGTCTGTGCACATACGAAAAAGTATGACAAGCATGTAAAAGGGAAAATAAGTATATGAAAAAGATAAAATTAAAACATAATTTTTAAATTTCTCTTTAAAACTGGTATTAAATTGTCATGATTCTTAAAATTCACAATTTTTTTAAAAAGGCTATTTTAATACTGACAAATGACATCTAAACATGGTTGGGATGTCTAAAGCCAGGCGCAAAGCAGTCTTTGAAAGCTCCAGGAATACCTCCTCCCCTTCTGCATGTCTTTCTTGCCTCCTGCACTTAGTACTCCTTCCAAAAATTGTTTTCCTGCTAAATCTCTTTATTTGTAGAGCCTACCTAAAGCAAAGTCCTAATCTGAGGAATACAGCGGAGTACATCTAAGAAAATCCTATTTTACAATGGCTGATAGCTGTTGTTTTATAACAATTCATGTCAACAGAAATGAAAAGTCAACAGAGCAGAAAACTTTTAAAATTCCTCGACAACCATAAAATACTCTCCCTACAATATTTATGTATGAGATTTAAAGAAACTAAAAATCTCAAGAAATAGGGAAAATCTGCTATCCTCTAAGACAAAGATTTTGTAAATGTATACCTATCCCCATCAAGTGAAAAATCAGTAAGATTTTTCTTTTAATTTCATCTTAATAAAAACAAGATAAAATTTTTCACTAGAAAAGACTAAAAGAGCCGGGCATGGTGACTCATGCCTGTAATCCCAACACTTTGTAAGGGATGTGAAGGGAGGGTAGCTTGAGCCTAGGAGCTCAAGACCACCATGGATAACATGGCAAGAACCATACATCTCTACAAAATATAAAAAATTAGCCAGTCATGGTGGTGCACATCTGTGGTCCCAGCTACTTAGAAGGCTGAGGTGGAAGGATTGCTTAAGTCTAGGAGGATACAATGAGCTGTGATCATGCCACTGCACTCCAACCTGGGTGACAGAGTGAGACCTCGTCTTAAAAAAAATTTTTTTTAAAGACTAAAAAAAACCAGACTCAATTTTGACAGATTCCTCAGCCACTAGGTAAAATCTATTCATAAATGCATATAAAAGTTACGATGTGATTCAAAGAGTACATGGTCCATTCAGAGCCATACATTTAATTCAAGAGCCAAAAACAGCATTCTGTGCTAAAAAAAACATGACAGCCAGGGTCCCTAATTTTCTCAGAAAGGGAAATCCATTAAAATAAATAAAACCAAACGTAGGCCACATTGTACTAATAAAAATCTAGGCCAGGCACAGTAACTGATGCCTATAAACCCAACACATTAAGGAGGATTGCTTGAGGCTAGGATTTGAGACCAGTCTGGACAAGAAAAGGAGATCTCATCCTAAAAATTAAAAAAAAAAAAAAAAATTAGCTAGTGTACACCTGCAGGCCTAGCTACTCAGGGGGCTGAGGTGGAAGGACTGCTTGAGGCCAGCAGGTCAAGGCTTCATTCAGTAAGCCATGATTGCGCCACTGCACTCCAGCCTGGGCAACAGAGCAAGACCCTGACTCAAAAAAAAAAAAAAAAATTTAATTTTAAAAAATTCAAATTAATTTTAAAAATATGGCTCTGAGAATAATACTTGACCCTTTGTAAGACTCGTCTTACTATACCTTTCCATTTCCAAAATCAGAAAGGCAACTTACGATCTTAGCTCCCCATCAAGATCCTGTTGTCTTAATTTCCTGAAATCTGCATCAAGAGCCTGGTAGTTTTCCTCAGAAGTATCATAAAAACCAAGGGCAGGCTTTTTTTCAAATGGGATTTCAGCATTATAATCCACCCCTCTCTTCCTTTTTCTTTTCTTCTGAATTTCTATGCCAGCTGCTCGAAGTTCTCTTCTTTTTTGGAGGGCAGCAAGACGTCTGAAAAGAATGCAAAATCACCTTGAAAATAATCTGCCATGTGACAAGGATGAATTATCCAATACAGTTTAAAAAAAACCTATCCATTTATTTGGGGAAGAAATATTTATTTAAATCCTTACCTCACACCATTCACTAAACAAATCCTAGTTTTAATTTAAAGATGCACACACACATGCAAATAATAAGGCAAAAAGAAAAACCAAAAGAAACTAAAAGCAAACATGTATCTTATCTCTGGATGGAAATGTACTTACTAAATATAAACTAAATAAATGGCAAAAGAAAAAAAATAAAAAATAAAAAACAATTTTTGCATTTTAATCCACCCATCTGCACATTGAACAGCTTCAAGATTTAAAATTTATAACTGTAACATGACAAAAACTCATAAATGAAATTAAAAGGCAAATAGTAGGGAAAAAATATCTGCAATTAGTACTAAGGATAAATATAAAGAGTCTTAAGCAAAGTTTTCTTTTTTTTTTTTTAAAGGAACTCAAAGGGGGAAAAAGAGCAAAAGAAAACAATTTACAAAGGAAAAACTGCAGGTAGCTAAAATGACAAAAGTCTTATTTAAGTTAATAATTAAAGAATCACAAATTAACAAGTACCATTTTTACATATCTAATTAATATCATTCAGTTTTTCTGTTTTGGTTTAATGGCAAAGCTGCAAAAAATGGACAGTCTGCTGCACTGGTAATGAGAAACTATATTGGTGCATATTTTCCCAAAGAGAAGTTGGAAATACACATTCATAGTCTAAAGATTTTCATATTTTTTTAGCAGCAATTTCACTCCTTAGCCTTTAGCCTAAGGAAATAAGTCAGACTATGAGTAAGGACTTAACTACAAAGCTGTTCACTAAGCACTGTTTATAAGAGTGGATAGCTGGATGCAATCTAAACATCCATCAATAAGAAATTAAATGCATTTGTAAGATATCAGCCTTTTATATAAACTTTTAAAAGGCTATAAATCTACTCTGACATGGAAAGAGGCCCAAGACATACTGCTGTGTAAAAAATGTTAGAAAGTTTACATGTCACAGAGCAACATGTAAGAACGGTATGCGCCGGGCACGGTGGCTCACGCCTATAATCCTAGCACTTTGGGAGGCCGAGGTGGGTGGATCACCTGAGGTCAGGAGTTCAAGACTAGCCTGGCCATCATGGTGAAACCCCATCTTAAAAAAAAAAAAAAAAAAAAAAAACTGTATGCATATCTATGAGTGAATATATGCCTGAGGAGATACGAAGGATGTCCACCAAAATATTAACAATGACAGTCACTGGAAGGTGGAATTCCATTTAATTTTTAATTTTTTTCTTTGTGTCTTCCGATGTTGCTATAGCTATAATGATTTCATGATAAGAAAAGCTATTCACAATATTAAAGAGAGAAAACAAGTCAGCAACAGTATATATTACTGACTTCCAGCATGACAGCATGAGGAACTCCATAAACCCACTACCCAGGGAGAATGGTGAAAACTATATATATTTAAAAAACAACCAACTAAAATCTCTGGAGAGGATCTGAAGCAGAAACAGCAAATATATAAACATTAACTGAAGAAAATCTACTTAAACTCGGTTAAAAAAAGTAAGAATATAATATTTAAATCAAGACCCACTCCCTCTTTCCCCCCACCTCAGAGAAACAGAGACTCCATTCCACACAAGTGCATCCAGCAACCCAGGGCTCCTTCTCCCCTCCAGCTCCCAGCAGTAGGACTTTCATTCCAAGAGGACTAGGCCATCAGCATTTCTAGTGGCAAAGTTCCATCAAGTGTCTGGGAAGTGAGACTTCCTTCCTCCATCCAAACAGAACAGAAGTCTCAGCTTTGGGCACAGTGCTGCCAATACTAGAGCCCTGACAGCCTTTGCCCTGGCTTATGGGATGAGGGTTCCACGCTGAGGGTGGTAGGGGGCGGGGAAGGGCAAGCCAAGGAAACCTTGGGTTGCTGTCCACCCCCCACTCCCCACCAAACACTCAGCTAATAAAGTAGGGCTGTCACTTAGAGACAAGCCCCATCAGAGCTCTGGGGAAGAAGCAGGACAGATAACTGAAAGCCTCACATCTCTCCTCAAACAAAAGGACTTCATTTGCAACAGAGTGTAGAGAAGTTCAAGCCTAAGGGCACTCTCAAAAACACTGGAAGTTGTGGTAAAAGGCAATTGGGAAGAAACTTGACAGACTCAATGGAGATACCAATGAATCTGTAGGCCTACTAGTCTGACAGAAACAAGGAATGAAGGCTGGGAGGAGGGAACCCTCACTGAGGTGAGAACAAATCTCAAACACTGATATCAGTAATTATCCCTTCAAAGGAGCCCAAATTTGATTGCATCAATTCGTAGTGCAATTTATGCCTTGGGACATTGCTGAAAACAACACAGCAAACAGCTGGCAATTAGTAGAACTTAACAGTGAAACGAATGTCAAAGAGAGCCCTGCCCAAACTATGCCATCCCAGGGTGTCTGTGAGCATAAGACTGCCTCCTTGAGGAGCAACATCAGATGCTTCACATTTCTCATGGGAGGGAAAGGAAGAACAGATTGAACAATGTGTCTAAAATTGGCCAGACACATTGGCTGATGCCTGCCTGTAATCCCAGCAATTTGGGAGGCCAAGGCGGGAGGATCACCTGAGGTCAGGAGTTTGAGACCAGCCTGGCCAACATGAGGAAACCCCGTCTCTACTAAAATACAAAAATTATCCAGGCATGGTAGAGAGCACCTGTAATCCCAGCTACACGGGAGGCTGAAGCAGGAGAACTGCTTAAAACTGGGAGGCGAAGGTTGCAGTGAGCCAAGATTGTGCCACTGCACTCCAGCCTGGGTGACAGAGTGAGACTCAGTGTCAAAAACATAAATAAATAAAATAAGCCAGTCACCAAACAAGTAAACAAGCAAATAATAAATGGGGGCTGGGGAGAGTACCCAGAATTGCTGTATCATCTAAAATATCTAGTTTCCAACAAAAAATTGTAAGACATGCAAAGAAACAGGAAAGAATGATCCATATGCTAGAAAAAAACATAAGCAACAGAAACTGCCTACGAGAGCAACCAGATGTCGGATTAACAGACTTGAAAGTAGCCATTATATGTTCCAAAACCAAAAGGAAACCAAAAAGTAAAGGAAGATATGATGACAATGTTGCATCAAATAGAGAATATTAGTAAAGAGAGAAATGTTTAAAAAGAACCAAATGGAAGTTCTCAAATTGAAAAGCACAAAGCTGATCAGCTAACTTGGGAAAAGGAACGAAATAACAAAAATGGGGAAAAAAATTTTAAGAAAAATTATTTAATTTTTTTAAAAAGTGGCTGGGCACAGTGGCTCACGCTTATAATCCCAGCACTTTGGGAGGCCGAGGTGGGCAGACTACCTGAGGTCAGGAATTTGAGACCAGCCTGGCCAACAGGGTGAAACTCTGTCTCTACGAAAAATACAAAAATTAGTTGAACATGGTAGCACACGCCTGTAGTTCCAGCTACTCAGGAGGCTGAGGCAGGAGAATTGCTTGAACCCGACAGGTGGAGGTGAAGTAAGCAGAGATTGTACCACTGCACTCCAGCCTGGGTGACAAAGCAAGACTCTGTCTAAAAGAGAAAAAAAAAAAAGTACAAAGCTGAAATGTAAACTTCACTAGAAAGACTCAACAGGAGAGAAAAAGAATGAAGAAATATGAACAGAGCCTCAGAGAAATATGCGGCACTATTAAATGCACCAACATAAGCATAACAGGAGTACCAAAAGGAGAGAAGTGAAAGGGGCAGAATAAAATATGTGAAGATATGTAATGGCCGAAATTTTGAAAAATTTATTGAAAAATATTAATCTACATATCCAGTAAGCTCAATGAACTACAAGAAAGATAAACAAAAAGAAATCTACAAACAGACACAACATATTAAAAATGCTGAAAGCCAAAGACGAGAAGATTTAAAACCAATAAGACAGGCCAATCACAGTGGCTCGCACCTGTAATCTCAGCACTTTGGGAGCCCAAGAAAGATGGATGGCTTGAGGTCAGGCGTTCAAGACCAGCCTGGGCAACACAGTGAGACTCTGTCTCAACAAATTTTTTTTTTTTTTAAATGAGGTGGGCATAGTGGTGTGCATCTGTAGATTCAGCTACTCAGGAGGCTAAGGCAGAGGATTACTTGAGCCCAGGAGTTCAGGGCTGCAGTGAACTCTGCACTATAACCTAGGCAACAGAGAAAAACCCTCTCCTAAAAAAAATTAAATTAAAATTAAAAGCAATAAAACAAAAATGATTCAGCACTTACAAGGAAATCTCAGTAAGATTTACAGTATTTCTCATTAAAACAATACAGTATGATTCAATTTTGTAGAAATGTTAGTGTATATATATATATACATATAAATACACATCTATGTTGAAAGAAAGGTTTAGAGAGATATATTTCAAATTTTAAAGTAATTTCATTCTTTAAATAATGGAAATAAAGACTTCAAACCACATTAGAAAACCTTTACACCATAATGCTAAATGAATATAACCAAGTCATAAAGCATTATATCGCCTATGTCCCAAAATTAGAACATTAACAATGCTGGAAGGAAAAATGTGCTACTTTTATAATCAATAAAAAACTGCTTTAAGTTAAAAGGTAGATATGTAATTTAACATTTAAAACAAGTAGCCCCGCGCTACACTCTGCATAAAGGCTAACCCAGCCTGTTATAATATAACTTATAAAGATTTGCAGAATCTATAAGAATGCCTACAAGAAATTACAGGGTAAATTAAAATCTGCAAATTTTATTTAAAGCAGTCAATGCTAGCCATACTTGGAGATTTTTCACATATGTATTTGCTGTATCCCTGGCCCAATCCACATGGTTAAAAGGCTCTAAAAACTTGGTCCCCAACAACCATGGATAAAAATGGAAAAGTGATTTTTTTTCAACCTTACTCACAGAATTTAACTCTAAATAGTATACAGAATAGAGAGATGGCCAAGAATGGGAGAAAATTTAGTACCTCCTCTTGGTTTCTGTTTACTGTCCCAGGCAGCTCATACCCTCAACATAAGTTAACTATTCTAGGCTAGCAACTGGCCAGCTCTGCCAACATACATCCTCAGGCATGAAAAAAATCCTCCATCCCAGAATCTGGCACTTCAAAGCCATTAATTCCAACATACTGCTAGTCATCAGGTGAAGAAGCACCAGCAGGCCAACCTGGGGTCCACAAAGGGGCACTGTGTAGGACAGGGAGGTTATTCCAGGGCCAGTCCAGATTTGCCCTTTACTGACTTCATCTTGGATTCTGAGTTACTGGGACATCAATCATGGACTTAACCAAAAGGAAAAAAGGGGAAAGTGAAGAAAATCCTGGGTCAAAGACAATGTGCAATATATATTCATTTACTTTTTAAATAAAGATATCTGTGAGGGCCTAAATTTGGTTCTAGGCTCATTAATTCCCTCTTTGTTCAGCCAAGTATTCTGTTTCACAGCCAGTGCCTGCCCAATACCAATCAAGGAAAGTAACTAATTAGCAGTCATACAAAAGACATATAATCTTGTGTGTCCTAAAATCATGACTCCAAAATAGCTACAACAAATGAAGCTCTCATATGACAACAGAACAAACTCAACATACTGGATAAACTGGGCATTACTTCTGCCACAGCTTAATTTTTTAAAATATGGTTTTCTCTAACTATTCTGAAATGGTTAGGGAAAAAAAATACAAGATGTTTTCAGAGAAATAAAGAAGGTAAAGAATACTAGCAAAATGAGAATTGGACAATTCCAATTATTATTCACCCAACAGGGTTAATAAATCATGCCATTTTTATTGGTCCTAAGGATGCCTAGACTAATTACTGAACTGTGAATGGCAACAACCACACTGTGACATTGTGAAATAATATATTTGGTCTTCATCCCTGTTTCCAACAATGAGTTGAGTGATGGCTGTCACCAGAAAGACCAAGACAGGATTAGAGGACTGGGACTTTCAGCTCTACTCCCCAACCTCAGGGGAGGGGAGAAGGGCTGAGGGTTGAGTTGATAAGCAATGGCCAATGATGTAATCAATCATGCCTATGTAATGAAGCCTCCATACAAACCCAAAAGGACAGAGTCTGGAGAACTTGTGGGCAGCCAAATACATGGGGATTCCAAAAAGGTGAACAAGAACACACCCACTTGCTCGGAGGGTGGCATATCCCAACTTCAATGGGACATAAGTGCCTGCACTCAGGACCCTTCCAGACTTCACCCTATGTATCTCTTCATGTGGCTGTTAATTTGTATCTTTTAAAATATCCTTTATAATAAACAAGTAAATGTGAGTAGGTGTTTCCTTGAGTTCTGTGAGCCCTCTAGCAAATGAATGGAACCCAAGGAGAAGGCAGTGGAACCCAGCTCTTTGGTCAGAAACACAAGGAAAACAACCTGAGGCTTACGGACAGCATCAAAACTGGGGTTCTGTCTTGTGGGACTGTCCTCAACCTGTGAGATCTGGAGCTATCTCCAGATAGACAGTATTAGAATTAACTGAATTAGAGGACAACCTGCTATCCACTGCAGGATTGCCTGCTTGCTGGTGGTTGGGAGGGTGGGGGGAAGAAAACACCTATCTGGTCACAGAAGTATTCTGTGTTGATTGTTAAGTGAAAAAAACACTTTGCTTTTTATTCCTATATCCACACATACCTTGCTTCTTCCAATTGTTTCTCTCTTGCTTTCCTCTTGGCCTTCTTTCCCTGAGTATTAGCCAAGCGAGCTCTGGCTTCAGAAAGCATCTCAAGTTCATCTGCAAAAATTAAAAGAAGAAAAACTGAGGCCGCCATCATGAACGACACAGTAACTATCCACACTAGAAAGTTCATGACCAACTGACTACTTCAGAGGAAACAAATGGTCATTGTCCTTTACCCCGGGAAGGCAACAGTGCCTAAGACAGAAATTTGGGAAAAACTAGCCAAAATGTACAAGACCACACCGGATGTCATCTTCATATTTGGATTCAGAACTCATTTTGGTGGTGGCAAGACAACTGGCTTTGGCATGATTTATGATTCCCTGGATTATGCAAAGAAAAATGAACCCAAACATAGACTTGCAAGACATCGCCTGTATGAGAAGAAAAAGACCTCAAGAAAGCAACGAAAGGAACGCAGGAACAGAATGAAGAAAGTCAGGGGGACTGCAAAGGCCAATGTTGGTGCTGGCAAAAAGTGACCTGGAGATTGGATCACAGCCAAAGGGGTAAAGGTGCCGCAATGATGTTACCTATGGCTGTTGTGGATTTTTCACAAGCAGCTTAATAAACGAAAAACTTTTGGGTGGAGAAAAAAAAAAGAAGAAGAAAAACTAAGTTTTTCTTAGTTCTTACATACCTTAGAGGCAAGGTATCACGTAAGAGACACTCTATTACTCAAAATGAGAAAAAAAGATAAATATACTCATGATGTAGCATAATGGAAACAGCTTGAGTTTTGAAATCAAAGAACCTAGGTTAAAAATCAGGCCCACCACTTGCTAGCTATGTGACCTTATAGTCACTTACTCACCCTCCCTAAGTATATTTTCCTATAAAATTGGAATACAGTTCCTACTTCACAAGAATGTTGAGAAGAGCTAAGTAAAATGAAATATGTAAAGCATCCTATTCATCAAACAGTGGCTACAATTATTGTATCCTTCATTATCATCAACTAACTGACACAGCACAAATTGTGAAATATGGTAAAAACTATTTAATTATGAGAGAACTGCTATCATTAGATGCTTTTTTTTTCCCTCAGAACAATTTCTCTCCTCCAATACATTTTTCATGGCTCTGTAGAATGGAATAATACATGCCACTATTGATGCCTCAGAACAATTCCTATGCAAGACTGTCCAACTAAATCACATGGGAACTTGTAAAATACTCAGATTTCAAGACCACTGCTCTTCCCTTGCCCCTCACACCACCCCAGATGTACTGACTCAGTATATATAGGGGAAGCCCTGATATATACTATTTTTAAATGCACCCCCTGTGATAATGATGCAGCCAGCCTAGCCACAGCCTGCCTTTGGGAACCACTACATTCAAACTTTTACATTTTAGAAACTCAACAAATATTCACTGAGTGCGTCACAACAACCCTGCAGCAGATATTAGTATTCTCCATCTAGCAACAAAGGGAATCACAGTTCAGAGAGATTTTATGACTTGGCTAAGGTCAAACAACTAATAGGTGGCACACACAGGTTGAAAATCCAATTCTTGATTCTTTCTGTTAATACATCATACTTTACATATTTACAGGGTACATGTGAGAGTTTGTTACATGCACAGAATGTGTAATGATCAAGTCAGGGTATCTTGGTATCCATTGCCTTGAGTATTTATTTCAGATCACTCTTCCAGCTACTTTGAAATACATAATACACTGTGGCTAACTATAGTGACCCTATCCTGCTACTAAACATTGCAACTTATTTCTTTTTTTTTTTTTTTTTTT